TGGAGCCTGTCCTGGTACTAGCTATAGTAGATCAGACTGACCTCGAACTCACGGAGATGCCTGTCTCTGCCTCCCAAGTGCTGGGATTAAAAGCCTGTGCTACCAACACCAGGCCTTTCCAAACACTTTTATAGAATTAAACGTCAAGAGCAGGAGGAATTTCAGATAATTTACATGAGAAGTATGCCCTCTGTAACCGTGCACTGGAATGAGTCAGGGACTGAAAAATAGTAATTAGGGCTGGAGAGATGGCTCAGCAGTTAGGAGCTCTGGCTGCTCTTCTAGAGGGCCTGAGTTAAGATCCCAGGACCCATATGGCAGTTCACAACTGTCTTTAACTCTAGTTCGAGAGAAACTGATACCCTCACACAGACATACATGCAGGCAAAACACCAATGCACACAAAATAAAGATAATAAAGAAATAAATTTTAAAAAAAAAAGAAAACAGTAACTAATCAGTCCTGAGCATGCGCAGACTTTGATTCAGCTCTTTACTCTCTAAATACTGTGGTTGTGTACAGAACTCGGAGAATGTGCACAGGCCACACACAAACGCGACTCCTGAAAAAGCAATGCGGTCATGAAGTAACCAAAAAGGAAATTAAGTTATCTTAAGCCTGGCAGTGGTGGTGAATGTCTTTAATGCCAGCACTCGGGAGGCAGAGGCAGGTGGATCTTCGTGAGTTCGAGGGCAGTCTGGTCTACAAGAATTAGCTCCAGGACAGCTAGAGCTATTACACAGCAAAACCCTACCTTGAAAAAACAAACAAAACAAAGGAATTGTCTTGAGACAAACAAAAACGGAAACTCAACACACTAAAACTTATGGGGGCAGCAGAAGTTCTAGAGGTTTTTATACAAATAAGTGTTCACATCAAAAAGAAAAAAGAACCCAAACTGCTGAGTGTCCACTCTTCAATGAACCAGCAAAGGAATTAAGCTGGTGGCCACCAAGAAGGGTGAAACAAAGCAGAAATTAAAGACTGCACAAAACCCAACAGAACGAAGAGCTGGTCTCAGATAGTTTCAATGACAAACTCTCACTTAGCTCAACTATGAGAGAGAAGGCTCAAATAAAATCATAAAGAAAGAGTATGTATCTCATCGGAGTCCACAGAAACACCAACCATCATGAGGTTAAGTAATTACACATCAATACATCAGGAAACCTAGCAGAAGTGGATAAATCCCTATGCTCAGATATTTTTCCAAGATCTAATCGTGAAGAAACAAAGTCTGTGCAGACCAACCATGCACAAATCGATTTAATCATAATAAAGCAACTCCCTGTGGGGGGGGGATGTCAGGTCACGATGGGTATGTTCTTGACTTCTACCCACCAATGCACAGAAGAGCTAACATGAATTCTCCGTTCCTCTACCCCACCTCTAAATCAAAGAGGAAGAAGTATTTTCAAACTGTTGCTATGAGATCAGCCTTAGCAGATGGCAAAGCCAGACAAGCACGGGCTGAGAAAAGGAGCCACAGGCTGATGCTCTCAATAGTAGAGGTATAAGGTATTCTAACACTAAATAAACTCAATCCCCACACACACTGAATGGACCATTTTCTGTGACCAAGATACAAGGGCAGCAACTTGAGACATCAATAGATGTGTTTAAAATGACTAATGTTTGGATAAACTGAACTGCATAGTTCATAATTGCTCTGGTGCAATTGTTCTACACTGTGTACACAGACTGAGTCAGCATAACGTACCCCATAAAGTTGCATGAATACTATGTCTTCTTTAAAAAATCAATAAATATACTATATGACATTTAAATAATGAAAAACAAAAGCCTTGTGGCCTCTTCTTTAACTACAGAAAACTGATAAAGTTCAACATTCTTTCGTGATCAAAAAAAAAAAAACTTGTCAACAGACTGGACACAAAGGAAGTTAACACAACATAATAAAAGCCACTTGGGAAGTCCCTGGTGTTAGAGTCTTTCTTCCAAATGACTCTAGTTTCAAGTTGACAAAACAGCAACAACAACAACAACAAAACAAAACAAAACAAAAACTTAACCAGCACATACAATAAATGGATTTGAAAATAAATAAATAACTTAAACATATAAACAGAAACTGTAAAATTAAAAAAATCATTCAAACAAACAATTACAATAACAAAAAAAATCCATGGTGAAGCATTCCCTATTGTTCATCAAGGGAATGATTTTTTTTAATTTGATATCAAAAAAGCAGATCTCAAAAACAGAAAATGAAGCTATAAGAAAATAAAAAGCTTTTGAGCCCAAAACAAAATTAACAGTAGAAGGACAAAGCCCAGAGATGGAAAGAAACATTTGCATTCTGTCATTCTAATAAGGACTTAGTAGTCAAAACACACGAGGAATTTAAGTAACTCAGTATCAAGAAAACAAAAAGCAAATGGGTGAAAATAGCTCAGCTGGGAGAGCATTAGGCTGAAAGAAAAAACCACGCAATTTTAATACAGAACAGAGGGGCTACAACTGGGGCTCAGGGGAACACACCTGCCTGCCTTGTGAAGCCCTCGGTTCAACCCCCAGCTTTGAAAAGAGAGGGTGGGGAGGAAACATGAGCAGGAATCTGAACAGGTGTTTCTCAGGCAGAGCCAAACAATAAAGAATGAAAAAAATGAAATTTATGCTTTGGCAATGCTGAATGAAGCATGCATGGGCAGCCTGTCTGTGGTGGTTCTGTTGAACTTGTCCATATTGGGTTTCATGGTCTAAGCTGATGAGAACAACTGACCAGATCTCTCCCTCAAGAGGGCACCAGACCTCATTACAGATGGTTGTGAGCCACCATGTGGTGCCAGGGAATTGAACTCAGGACCTTTGGAAAAACAGGCAGTGCTCTTAACCGCTGAGCCATCTCTAATGCACCAATGAAAAGGGTGTAAGAAAAGGTATATGACACACTTGGCCTGTGGGGATGAGCCTTAGCACAGCCTCTACCGAAAAACACAGAGTAAAGCAGAAGTACCGTGTGAGGGACAAGCCCAGCCTCCGGGTCCTTACCCGGTTTGGAATCTGTTTCATGAAGACTTGCGTGTAGTTGGTATGTGCCATGAAGACTTGCGTGTAGTTGGTATGTGCCATGAAGACTTGCGTGTAATTGGTATGTGCCATGAAGACTTGCGTGTAGTTGGTATGTGCCATGAAGACTTGCGTGTAGTTGGTGTGTGCCATGAAGACTTGTGTGTAGTTGGTGTGTGCCATGTTCACTGCGGGACTATTTCACCATAGCCACGTGTTGGGAGATTTCCTCTGCCAGGAAGGCACAAATACCACCTACTCTCCTTTCAAGGGAAAACCAAAGTAAGAGTTTACTCAGTTCTCCCTGGGGTGCCAATGAGTTTGGTGGCTTGCTTACAGCACATGGGTGAGGGATCACCGGCAGGACTGTGGGCGACCCTAGAGCACCCACACTGGAAAGTCTCCCTCCAGGACAGAAGACGGCTTCCCCGTAGCCATGTAGGCAGAGCCCTTGCCTTTGTTTCTTCCCCTTAGTTATATACTCTAGATCCTCTCTTGACTTCTCCCCACCCCAGGCCCTGTAATTAGGGCAGAATTGGAGGAGCAACTGAAGTCTCAGGTGAGGTCCAGTGACCCTTGCCACTCCACCCCTCCCATGAGAGAATGGCAAAGTCCCCAGGCCCATCTGTGTTGACTGACAATAAGCAGGCATGGTGGATCTCACGGAGATGGTGCCTGGCTGTTCAAAGGACTCGGAAAATGAAGATCCATGGTCAGAGGCAGGAGGGCTATGCTGTTCTCTGTGGTACCTGTCACAATAGAGTCGACAATTCCGTACAGTTCAAGATTGCCGAGTTAATTTCTCAGATTCTCACTTGGAAAATGATGAGCGTTTGAAGCAGAGAATGTGCTAATGACTTTGGCTTAATTGTTGCACGCTGTACCCATTAATCTCAGCCCTACACTGCAGCCCACAAATTTAGACAAGCTTAATTTACAAGGAAGTCAAACAGAAAGGAAATTGTTTTGATGTTATCAAAGGTTTTTGTTCACTCGTAAGCTTTGGACTTCGGATGCCAAAGCATGTCATAAGAAGGTAGTTGGTTTCCACGCAGATCTCAAAACGCAGAGAAACAGGTGAAAATCCTGAGGCTTTACCTTCCTCTGTCTCCTTCCTGCCAGTTAGCAAAGAACTGGCAAAGATAAAAGAGGTAGCCAGGCCTTTTTCAGGGACTTAGGTATGGAAGCAAAAGCAGATGGTGAGGCAAAGGCAGGGAGACTGACATTTCGGGGTGAGTGTTCTGAGGAACCTCAGACTCAAGTCACTCTGAGACGCCGTGAAGCACAATGCTTGCTCACCCTTCTGCTCAGGGCAGAGCCAAAGGAAAGCCCTAGATATACTGGGTCCCTTCCAGTTCTTTTTAGCCCACTGATATATATAGGAAGGAAGGTTTCTGTGAAAACAATGCTGAAAGTCCTCCTGCGGGACCGACGGGGGCGGGGGGAGGTGTGTGTGTGTGTGTGTGTGTGTGTGTGCGTGTGTGTGCATGGAACCACAGAGAGGAGTTTCCCCAATGTCAACAGTTTGGTTTAACCTAGCACAAAACAATAGAGGAGGGTTCCTGAGAAGTATGGCCTCTGCCTGGCTGGGTGTGTGCAGTTTCCTGGTGCAAGAATTGGACAAGTGTGTTCACTAAGCTCTCAGATGTTCTTGGATCTGAGCAAGGCTGCTTTGTGAGTGTGAGCATACACACACACACACACACACACACACAGAGTAGAGGGCAGGAACTTCTACCTGAATGAGACAAAGCTCAGCATAATAGACCAGAACAGAAGACCAGGGTGCAGGCAGATGAGGTGCTGGGAGGATCTGGGAGTCAATAGTAACACAGCGGCATCCAAACACCCAGGCGACTGAACCTCGGACTCATCTGAGCTCCCGTTTGCAAACAGAACATTTCCAGCGTTCTTCACGCGGTTCCTATGAGACGGTGCTGTTCTATCAACTTCCATGAAGGCTACTTACCGCTTTCAGATGGGACATGGGAGCTCCTTCAGCTGAGAAGGACACAAAATATCCTCAAAGCAAAATTTCTTTGCTTTTGTTGTTCTTGCTTTGGGTCTTGATTTCACAGTTCCTTGGGAAGTTCCCTTTACTTCTTCTGTTCATTCTTGTACAGAGTATACACCTCTGGGCAACTGGGCAGAGCCGTCCTTTGATGCCCTGGCCTGGCCCCTTACAGGCTTCCTGACGGTACCTATTAGCAGGAAACGGAGGCTGGCCAGACAGTCTCCCTAATGAGGATGAGCCAAATTGACTCAATGTAACAAATTTGGTAGGCATAGCCTGATGCTCCAGATATCTGGCCCTGAAAACCAGAAGGGAGGAAGTTCTCCATTACCCAAAGAGATGAGGGTGTGGGCAAACTGACCTCACACTCAGGAGAGAATGTGGGTCTCTGTAGCACCTCAGACTTAAGGGGGATAAAAGCAGAGAAAGGGAGCCACATGCTGAGACAAGCCTGAAGGCCAGCAGGCAGATAAACATCAGCAAAAGGGACAGGAAGCAACCAGAAAAACAAGGAAAAGAAAATGAGAAGGGAAGTTGTAGTTGTCGAAAACCGGCTTCGACAAAACTCACATGGTCCAGGGTAGGAGCGTGAGGGTTCCAATTATTAGGCAAAAGGAACAGACATAGGAGAAATAAGAGACAGAAACAGAACAGCATCAGGAGGGACATTCAGTGAATACTGAATTCACCTCGTTTATTCTTCCACAGGCTTATGTACTTCACTCCTAAAGGGGAGGTGGGGAGGCAACCGGCTTCATTAGCATGACATGAGGGATAGGCTGGAATTCTCTGCCCTTCGGTTCAGGTGAAGGGGATCTACTTCAACACCCAGAGTACTAATTAACCACACCCTAGGCTTGTTTGTAGCCACACCTGTTGTTAACAACTTTGAGAAAGCAAAACTAAGCTCAAACCCTCTGACCTTCAGACAAGGTGGAGCAGGCTCACATTTTTGGGTCTCCACACTAAGTTATTTCTCTTTCTGCAGTGACAAAAGCATCCTACAGGAGGAAGAGTTTATTTTGGCCTGGAGCCGCAGGATGCAATTCCCTCACGGTGGGAGGGTGGAGGAGGTGAGGGCTGCTGGCTACAGGTAGAGGCAGAGGAAGATGAACGGGAGAGCTCAACTCACTTCCTCCTTTTCATAACTGGCAATGCAGTCCAGTTATGGCGGCTTCCCTGCTTCAGCTAACCCAATCCAGGTCACTCCTCAGAGGTGCATGACCCAGATCTGACCTGATCTAGACAATCCTTTAGATACTAACCTAATCTAGATCACCCCTCTGAGGCATGCCCAGCCACTAATCTCGTTCAGAATATTTGTTTACCCTGAAGATGTGTCTTTGCTGAGGTGCCTTCCAATTGGTTTAATAAAGAGCTGAATGACCAATAGCTAGGCAGGAAGAGGTTAGGCAGGACTTCCAGGGACATAGAGGACTCTGGGAAGGAGAAAGGCAAGGTGCCAGGAGACACAGAGAAGAAACAGGAGGTAGAACGTGGAAGAGAGGTAATGCCACGTGATAGAATGTAGATTAATAGAAATAGCTTTGAGTTATAAGAACTAATTAGGAATGAATCTAAGCTATAGGCTGAGCTTTCATAATTAATAATAAGTCTCCATGTTCTTTGTGGTAGCCTAAAGAAAAAAATCTAACTACACTAACCTAATCTAGATCACAGGCACGCCCAGAGGTTAGCCTCCTAGGTGTTTCTAGACCCTGTCAAGGTGATGGTATGAACCCCTCACAGGCAGTAAAGATGAACTGGGAAGAAGAGGCAGGAAGAGTCAGCGAGGGGGAGGGGAGAGAGCTATGGAAAACCAAGTGGGGGAGAGCACTATTGTCCAGGGGCAGCTGGAATCTAATCTAAAAGGCAGGCCTGCCCACGGTGGCAGGGTCACAGAACAACCTGGTGAGACCACTTCAGAGATGGTAGCTTCCAGGCACTCATGGCCCTTAGTAGAAGCAGATTAACCACCCACAGCACGAGACTTTCAGATTTCTATACAGAGCTAGAAGCTCCCCATCATGTGAAGGCACGGGGCTGTGGAGAAGGCACGGGCTGTGGAGAAGGCACGGGCTGTGGAGAGAAAAACGCAGACCTTCTGCTGAATCCACGATGCTGCCCAGATGGGTGGATCTGACCTCTGTCCCGCCCACAGCTGGGGTGTAACATTAATCCTGACATTACTAAAATGAGCATATCTGATCACTGTCCCCTCCACAGCTGGTCTACAACAACATCAAAGCAAAACCACAGTTCATATCTTAAAGAGAATGAGTGATAATTTATTCTGGAACCAAGTATAAGTGACCCTGCTGAGAGAGAAGCCCCTCTCCTGCCTCTGGCTGGCCCCTTTTCCTTCTTCCAGCATGAGATTCCTGGGGAAATTCCCACTTTGGGAATCCTTTGTTTCCATAGCCTGATAGGTTGAGAGAAAGCTTCTCTACCTTCCCTACAGTAGCCAGCTTTAAACTACTAGCCACCTAAGGTCATGGGGGTGGGGGGATTCTGTTCCCCCAGACAATGGCTCTGTTGCTGCTGCTAACTAAATCTCTATTGTTCTAATAAAACTCAAGATTCAAAGGCTAGGGTGAAAACCTAGGAGCCCAGAGAGTTAGTTTAGCAACTGGCTAACTTTGTCTCTTTGCTGGCGACCTGGCAGCCACTTCCTTCCACACTGCCTAACTAAAAAGACCCATACTAAGCTCCTCCCTGATGCTTCCTGTCAACCAGTAGCTAACCCCACCTCTCTGAGTCCAGGCTAATTTTATTTCATTAACTCAAAGTCAACACATCTTTACATAGTTGGCAAATGCAGCAAAAAGAAATGTAACACACCTTCACATAGTTAAAGTAATATTCCCAGCACAAACATGTCACACATCTTTGCCCAGTTAAAATAATATTCCACATTGAGAGAAAAGAGTATCTCTGGAATACCTTCACGTCTGCCAGGCTGGCTACAGACTAGGACTCATCTGGGACTCATCTTCAGAACAGGGATTGCTTGTCTCTCCCTTCTGTAGCTCTGCCTGCTTAGATTTCACTTCTGAAACGCGGCTTGACTGAGAGCCTCGCGTTATGATTTATGCAGGGTAATTTCCCGTTTAGAAGATGGTGATTTGACCGTGTTTGATTAGATGAGGACCCAGACACGGAGCATGACATGAATCAGTATCTCTGTAATTCTCAGGTAACTACAACTCAATCAAACAAACCTGTCAGGCTGTGGTTCTAATGAAGTTGGGGGCACAGCATCATGGGAGGAGCATCTGACTGGCAGAGGAAGAAGCACAAACCAGAAGCCTGGCTGGGTAACTGCAGACTGGCTGGATGGAGAGAGACTCTACCAGGGACCTCAAGGCTGGGGTTGGGGATGCTGTGAGTGTGTACAATCCTGCTACACAGCTAACCTGAGACACCCCCCCCCACCTCCAGTGCTACACTGCTAACCTGAGACACCCCCCCACCTCCAGCGCTACACTGCTAACCTGAGACACCCCCCCC